AATCAGGAGGCTTCGAATCCTTAAACCTATGCTCTAATGTGTTCAGAGGTGTTAAGCGAAAGGGGTATAGAGTACCTACACCTATACAACGTAAAGCAATGCCTCTTATTCTCTCTGGCACCGACGTCATCACTATGGCACGAACGGGGTCCGGTAAAACTGCAGCGTTTTTTTATTCCCATGCTGGAGAGGCTGCAGCAGCATGTCTCCCAGTCTGGTGTTAGAGCCCTAATCTTGTCACCCACTCGCGACCTTGCTCTTCAACCCCTTAAGTTCACTCAAGAGCTCGGCAGATTTACAGGTAAAAAGACAACTCCATCAGTTTGATTTGTCATACAATATGAAATAGGAGTCAGTTATCTTCAAATTGCTTCCTTATATCCCCTCACATGTTTGCAAAATAAAATGCTTCTCTAGTTTTTCAGTTTTACATTCCATGACCTATATAATTTGATTTCCTTCATTTCTCTAATTTTGCATACCTTCGTGTTAGTTTATTGGTTGGCGGTGATAGTATGGAAGGTCAATTTGAGGAATTGGCACAGAGTCCTGATATCATTATTGCAACTCCTAGTAGGCTCATGCATCACCTAGAAGAAGTTGATGATATGTCACTCCGGTCAGTTGAGTATGTGGTATTTGATGAAGCTGACAGTCTCTTTAGCATGGGTTTTGCTGAGCAGTTGCACAGAATTCTTTCGCAGCTAAGTGACAATAGGCAGACCCTGCTGTTTAGTGCAACCTTACCTAGTGCTCTTGTAGAGTTTGCCAAAACTGGACTTCGGGACCCTCAACTTGTGCGCCTTGATTTGGAGACCAAAATTAGTCCTGATTTGAAACTTACCTTTTTCACCTTAAGGCAAGAAGAAAAATTAGCTGCTTTGCTGTATTTGATCAGGGAACATATCAGATCTGATGAGCAATCATTGATAATTGTATCTACAAAACATCATGTCCAGTTCCTTGACCATCTGATAAGAGAAGAAGGTATAGAGCCTTCTGTTTGTTATGGTGATATGGATCAAGACGATCGCAAGATCAATGTCTCAAGATTTAGATCAAGAAAGTCCATTGGTTTTTATTGTACTTTTCCCAAAAAAAGGGTATTTTGTGTGATTTGATATTTGAACAAAACCCTAAAACCCTACAACTACAACCTTCGTCCCTTCGTCCCTCTCTGTCGTCTCACAGATTTATCGTAGCAGTGCCGCTGCCGGAACTAATTTAATGGGGAGAGGAAAACCTCTTCTTGTGAGCTCCGTAACGGAGCTGAAGAAAAAGGAGAAGATAGAGAAGAAAGMAAAATCAGGAGGCTTCGAATCCTTAAACCTATGCTCTAATGTGTTCAGAGGTGTTAAGCGAAAGGGGTATAGAGTACCTACACCTATACAACGTAAA